CCCTGTCTTGTTTTGGGATAGTTGGTTGAGGTGATTTTTCCTCTGCTGTAATTTCTTTTATCCCATTTCTTTTCCTCATGATTCCATTGAATAGATACAGTAAAAGTTTTAGCATCAAATTGCCTTGATTTTGACTCAATTCAAGGAATATAAATCATGATTTGAGATCCCACTTTGGCATTATCATCCCCAACCACCAACAAATCCACCATCTCCACCTTCTACTCCATGAAGCTAGGCATCTTTTGCCCTATCAGGGACACTGAAAAAAGATCAATTTTATTGTCATGGGACCATAACTAAAGACTTCTTTATTCAAGTACTTTTCTTCTTTATTTTTGGTTGGTAAGTGATACAAGGCATGCAAGTATATAAAAGCTCCAAAACCAGTGGAAACTCTTTAACATTGTGGTGTGCTTCTCGTTGCATTCGTGGGATATGATCATTCGGGGAGCATCATTTTTATTTTTCTCTGCCTTTTTTCTTGTTTTCCCCCATGAGAGAATGAAATTTGCTGGTTGTTGGGAAGCAAAAAGGAAAGCGATGTTGGTGAGGTTCAATCCGAAGACGGATTTACGCCATGGCTTCAGTTGTAAAATACGATCTCAGATTGAGCCGCGCCAATATCACTTTTCATAACTCTTTCTAATTTGCTTTCCAAACTCACTCTCAAGTTCTCTTTTGACTGTATATCTATATATTGTTCTCAATTTCAGCTTCATTAATGTTTCCTAGTATGATAGTATATCTTTTTGCATGGGGTGATGGGGTGGTACATGACAATTCATGTTGCATAAAACATCGATTAACTTATGTATTCTTGTTATGCTTTTCATGAAATTTGAATATCATAATTCGTATTAAAAAAACATAAAATACATTTTTTTTTATTTTTGTTAAATTCATATATTATTTTTATTAAAATTTTAACTAATATTCTTTTTATATATTTTTTCATATCATTTTTATATTGTATTATTGCGTCCTATCATGTTGCTAGGTTAGGAGTGTGTCATGAATCTATATATAATTAATTCCTAAGCAAATTTTCATGTTTTTCTCGTTAATTTCATCTTGAACTTGTCTTTGCTTAAATAAGTATTAATCTCTTCATCCTTGGCTGTCCTTATTGAAGTAGAAACTATCACTGTTTTTCAGGTTTCTTCTTGCATTGATGATCAGACACAGGAATGACTACAAATGCAGAGTTTATTTTTTCTTATTTTTAATGACGATCCAATTGTAGCCACTGCAAACAAAGGCTACTTATTATTTACAGATATTGCTTGAGACTTATCAGAGTTGAACCAAGTTTGCTTAGATCTTAATTGATTTTATAATCTCTTATCAACTCTCTTTCCTCTGCAGAAGAATTGTATGTTTTGGCTATGGAATAGTACTAGAAAAATGTCTGAGATGTCTTACTCTCAGAAGCTTGGTATACTAAATGAAAGAATATATATAGAGGATTGTTTGCAGTACTACTTTATAATACTGTAGCAAAGATAATTTCACTGTTTCATTATATATCCAATAAAACTAAAAAGTAACCGGTATATTACATTGCATTAATATTTATAACTTTTACATGATAGAAATATATTGAAGTATGGAAGTCGGAACTTAATTAAGTTGATTTATGTAATCAATTTTAAAAAATGATATTCAATAAATTTAGGTTTAAATCTTAACACATGCAATTTTTTTTTTTATTTTCAAGTTGAAACTCTTTTGTATAATACATATATATATATATATATATATAAAGTATAGTAGAAATAATAAAGAATAAGGCCAACAGACATTTGACTTCTGAAAATCATTTCTTATACCAGAAGCAAGTTTCTTACCTAATGCAAGAAAATTAAGTATTTTCTCCATGTATATGAAGTGATTGTCAGGTGGTCTAGTCTTGTCCAATTTCTATCATTAGCATATAACAGAGGAGAAAAAAAACATGGCTAAGTATCATTTCATTATTAATTACTGTCATTATCAGGAGCAAGCCGTAAGAGGAGCGGGAGGGGTTTTGGCCCCATCGGAAGTTTTGAAAAATCTTTAGAATGTGTATATATTTATGATTTTATATTTAAGATATATATATATATATATTTGTGTTAAATAAATTTAAATTGGTCCCATAAAATATGTTAATATTATTTATCATAGTTTAATAATTTAATTTTGTATTATTTTTTTATTGATTTTACCCATTACTCACATTATTATTTGTCTATTTATTGTACTCACTAATCATTATTTAGAAATTCTTAAAATAAAAAGTTTTGTTATAAATTTTAAATCACAATCATATGATTTTAATAAAAACTAAATTAATTTTTTAGCTTTATCAACTATATTAAGTTTTAACCAAGTATTAAATGTTTTTTTTTCTTTATCAAAGATTGAATCTTGTTCATTGAAACTAAAAATTTAATACTCAATTAATAACCATGCACGACTATTGATGTTTTCATTTTCTTTTTAAGTAATTACAAGTTTTCCTTGAATATCATATTTCACTTTTAATCGCTTTAAATCTTTATCTCATATTGTCTTACAATTTTCAACTTCATTTTTTTAAAGTATATCTATTTTTTTTTTTGTTTGGATAAAAAATATTTTTCCATTGATGCTTATAAAAATATTGATTTGTTATGTTTTATTTCAAGATTAAACTGTCAAAAGAATCAAGAAAGATCTAATACTTTATTGGAAGATTGTGTAATTAATAATATTACCATTAATTTAAAAGTTATATTATTCTTTAATATTTAATGTTCTCATTGTAATATTTTCCTTTTATAATTTTATAAACTTGGTTTTTTTATTAATATATATTTTTTCACATTTATATTAATGATTATCATAAAACATGTCTTATGAACAAATAAGTTAAAGTGTAATATTAATTGATCATTTCAAAATCAAATGTCAAAATTTGGTACTAGTTGTTTTGGCAAAGCAGGACATGTTAATTGCTACTTAACATTTTAGAAGGTAAAAAAGATATGACTTTGGAATTCGGAGTTTAATTTAGTTAATCATGTTTAAAAAATAACATTCAATAAATTTAGGATTTGAATTTCAGCATATGTAATTTTTTTTTTTAATTTTCAGATTATGACATCTTATGTATGTATGTATGTATGTATGTATGTATGTATGGCTTTTGGCTCAACAAATTCACTTCCCTCGTTCCCTTGGGCCTCTCCCTGGCTCTAAAAATTTAATTTCTAGCATATTCAATCCTAGCTAGCAAGGGATACATCAACCTACATATCAACAAGAATTTCCATGTTTACAAAGAAATGTCTTACTGGCTTCAACATACTCGTTTTATGTTGAAATTTTAAGATAGACAGAATGAAATTTATACACGAAATGGAAGAGGATTAAGTAAAAGGTACATCTTTTTATGTAGTCTAAAATCTTATGTATAAAATTAAAAAAAAAAAAGAAAAACAGCTATGGTTTTAATATATATTAAGCCCGATATTAACCACGTTGGTACGGGTATTTTTGTTACCATATGCATGGCATAAAGGTGCTTCCCTCCCCTTAAGCAATTCTCAAGCGGGCGGGTTGGAGTAAACTATATATTCATTAACTGGCACCATATGTTAAACCAAACCTGGTGGAAGATGATTTTTAATTAGGAGCCTTTGATCTTGTAAAAGCAAGAAACATTATAGGTCGGATCAAGGAATCTTATATAATTTACATGGAATTAATTAATTAGTCTTTTTGCAATGATGCTGGTAAACATGGCAAACCATTCATTCATTTTTAAGATGGATTTTAGTAAAATTGGGGATTATATTCCCTGCGCTCACAAATTTTCTCTTGTCCCCTTAAACTTTCTCGTCTTCCTCGTATCAAAATGTATGTAACAATAATAATAATAATACCGGCCAGCTAGCTACTGAACATTCCTTAATTAAAGTATGAAGCTTACATCATATAGTATGTAATGAAGTCGAAACTTGAAGGAGAAAAATGGGTGTAGGAAGAAAAAAAAAGATTTCGATTTGATGGTTAATTAATTATGCCACATGTTTAAAGTAGCTTGTCTTGCAAGTTCATGACTGTTAACATCACTAATCCAGCAATGAGTGTCCTTCACTAGCTGATTATGCGGTGGCCAGCCGGTAGTACATTTCCTAGGTTTGCTAATTCACTTGTCTTAAGCCATATGATTGAAGTCTATAAGAAAATTAACTGAATGAAGTAATTTTAGAACTTTAGTGAATTGGATAAAGTGAGGCGGTCCACCTAGAAAGAAATATATATGCCATTTACCATATCTCTTGGTGAAGAAATATATATTAATTTTGGAACAACCTCTAGCCCTCACCATTGACGGTTAGCATAATATTCTCTAGAGCTGCTGCTGTTATGGCTCGATAAAATCTCCGTTTTTACCAGAAATTTTCACTCTACTCTTTTTCAAATTGAGTTGGAGCCTTTTGTCTAATGTAATGATTTTGTTTTCTGTTTAAAAAAAGGAAAATTCGAGAACGAAATGCATACGTAACTAAACCACTTTTATTTGTAAAGAATATCAGAATTTTTACTGTAGCCTTTGCTGAAATGATTTGCAGAATATGTAAAGCTCAGAAAGATTCCAGATTGAATGTGATACAAAATACAAACTCAAATGAAGATGCATTTGTAGCTGAACAATTGCACTATACTCTTTTTGTAAGTTATTTTCAGAATAAGTTAAAGCAGGGATTAGATTCTAGTTTGAACAGTACAGCTAGTGGAAACATACATTACTCAATATTCATAGTTTTTTTTTGTTCTTTGTAAAAATAACAGTACTATGCCTTTTATATTTCTAGAAAATTATGTGCTGATTTTGCTGCAAATAAGCCAGCGGATAGATGCTATTGTATCAAGGGAATCAGGTTGAGTTTGTGCAGTTGCAACAACATTTGTTGCCAGCGGCTTCTATGAGTTTAGACCAAGTTTAATGTATAACCTTAATATCTGGTTCACTAAAACAAAACTTCCCATCTTTAACATTCACAATTACAGATATAGATAGTACTGAGTTGAATGATCCAATAAGGTTTTCAAATTGAAGCAAACTGTCAACAACATTTTCGTTGTAAGAGAGAACGTGTAGATTTGAAGTACAAGATAGTGTCATGGAGAAACATACTGCAAATTCCAAAAACTCAAAGAAATTGACATTCAGGTAGCTGCAAATCTTGGAAATGGGAGGTTTGATCTAATTACAACATTGGGAAATCGTGACAAATAATGGTCCCACATTCACGGTTAGCTCTTTAGTATAAGGTTTTAAAGAAAAGGAAATTGGTTTACCTCTTCCAATCTTTCTGCCTCTAGCAAATTTTCAAACTCCCCAAAGTTGTATAACAAGCCTGAAATATTGTCTTCACACAATTGAAGATACAACTGTGGCATCCCAACCTCTGGTTGGTTTGATAGTTGAGCCAATAATGACAGGAATTGACTGCAGATCATCTACACCTCTGTTTTCCAGTATTCAAGGGAGAATCTCTAATGCCTTTGGATTGAGCGTTGCAGAGTTGCTCAGATCCATCTGGTTTCTTCTTACGTCTCCCTTGTTGAGATAGACGAGAGTGATGGGATAAGATGGCGAGATCATTAAGATCTTGCAATCGAGTGAGAACTTTCACTACTTCATCCATTGTAGGACGGGATTTTGGGTCCTTATGGAGGCAGCTGTAAGCTAATTGAGAAACTTTCTGCACCCCTTTAAGAGAATAATTCAGCTCCAAGCGGGGATCCACCAGCTGGTATAGTTTTCTCTTGTCAGCTAAATATGGTCGAGCCCAAGCAACAAGATTCTGCTCCCCCTTTGGGCGCTTCTTGTCCATTGATCTTCGGCCTGTCAAGATCTCAAGTAATACAACACCAAAGCTGTAGACATCACTCTTAGATGTCAAATGTCCTGGGAAAAAAGATCCAAAGTTGTACATATTATCAGTTCTCCAGATTTTTGCATGGCGCAGATATGAAAGTAAGTTTCATTATAGAATGTTAATTTATTGATTTCGGCTGTGCCTTCGTTGTTGTATGACCATCTGGGTTTGGTTTCCAATTCTGCCACTGATATTTTGTATAACAGGCATTTCTAATGGTAATTGAAATCAGAACAATATATCTGACCTGCTTTTAACAACCAGCAAAATTTATGGTCCAAGACCAAAACAGATACCTACTTGTCTTAGCAGTTTGATGTCATTCCTACTGCTTTGCTGCAGAAATTAAAATTTGTTCTAGAATCCGTTTGGGATAGTGGCACAGTGCAGCGAAAGGGGGCTCACACGGCACAGAACCCCCTAACGGCTCTGGATCCTGCACTGCACCACTATCCCACACGGGTTCTCAATGTTGAGTCAAATTTCCATAGAGAAGGCATAAATAATACTAGAGCTCTAAGCTTTCAATTAGTTCAGATCATCCTGCACAATTTTAATACCTGTCATAACATACTCTGGTGCAGCATAGCCATAGGTTCCAACAACCCTAGTAGAAACATGTGTTTTGTCTCCTTGAGGACCAGCTTTTGCTAGACCAAAATCTGAAAGTTTGGCATTATATTCCTGTGAAAGAAATTCCATATTAGTGATTCCATAAAACGAAACAAAAATATAGGACAGGAGGATATAACCACCTAAATTAAAACCATCAACCTACATACCGAGTCAAGTAAAATGTTGGATGTCTTAAAATCTCTATAAATGACTGGTTCGGGACCACCATGGAGAAAGGCCAATCCTTTCGCTGCCCCAAGTGCAATCTTAATCCTATTGGACCATGGAAGAGGTATTGTCCCTTTGCAAAATTAGGCAACAAGACAACATCAGTATTTCTTTCATGTGAACTTCTATAACTATGCAAGAACGGAATTTCCTGAAACTGTTTATCAGAAGTGCTATTATGTGACGCCTGTACAAAGTTCTCACAAGGGAAAGCCCTTTAATAAGAAGGTATAATGCTAACTAACAGAGTAAAAGTCCATGAGGACCACTTCAACATCGGATTTTAACTTAAAACACCAAATTGGAGATAAAAAAAAATGACTCTGAGTTGGAAGGAAAGAAGGAAAGAAAACAGTGAGACTCACTTCTAAAAAGATGGTTTTCAAGACTTCCTCGGGTCATAAATTCATATACAAGCAGCCGCTGATCGTCTTCAATGCAGTAACCGATGAGTTTAACAAGATTAGGATGATGAAGCTGTCCGAGGACATCAACCTCAGCCTGCATTAAAAGAATCATCCAATGTTACACTCCCAAGTTTCAGTAACTTACCAATGGTCCCTTCAACAATGAATCTACTAACCCAAAGCACATATTTTTTCTACTAACCACCCATTCTCTATGGCCTTGAAGACCATCTGGCTTCAAACTCTTGACAGCAACTGTAATCCCTGAACCTGGTTTCGCTGGTGCCGTCCCATTTTCCTCTATCCACCCCTTGAAGACATAGCCAAAACCACCTTCTCCAAGAATGCTGTCAGGTCTAAAGTTTCCTGTTGCAGATTTTAGCTCCTGAAAAGTAAACTGGAGAAGCTGGCATGGAGATTTGTCATCTGATGGTGGTGGATCAGGGTTATCAGATGAAAGATGAGCTTCATTTGGAGGGCAAAGCTCTCTATTACTAGCATTTAGATATCTTGTCTCGGTAGCTGCAAATAGAGATTGCAAGTAAGTTGTCTTCCGATGATCATAATTCCTTAACAGCTAAAGGAACAAAATCAATTCCATTTCATTTCAGGTTGAACATAATAATAAGAAAAGGGTAAAGACCACAATTCTTTTGTCAGTCAAGAATCTTTAAATGGAGATCTTAAATAAAATGAATTATGCAAGATAAAGTCATCTTGGTTGGAATTTGGCAAATTTGTCAGATATCAAGTGGAATAAATCAATCCCCTTTCCTGTCCTGCGAAAAAAACACAGCTATGATTTTTAATGACCCACTTCCAGCTGAGATTGTTTAAAATTCCCATTTTGAAACTCGGATGACTAAAGAAAACAAATATTTTTGCAAGAATTAGAAGAAAAATTAACTATGAAGATCTGTAGCCAAAATGTTTCCCAGCCTGATATTTTGCTTATTAAACTCAAATTTTGAAACTTTCCAGAAAAAGAAGAACAAAAATCGGAAAAGCAACATTGAATTAGTATCAGAAATTAGCTGCAAAGAAAGAAAGAGGGGAAGGAAGAAAACAAGAATAAGAAAACATTAAAAATAAAAAACAAAGGAGCCCAACAACAAGAAACAAATGACAAGAACAAAGGAAAAAATGCATCAATGTTTTCAAAACAAAAAAGGCAAAAGCTAAGGAGAAAAAGACATATTTGTTAAAAAAAAGAGAGATTACCAGCATCATAAACAAGACTAGTACGAGGAATTGTATTAGCAGAGTCACGAGAAGCAGAGGACTTGCAAACACCGCGTTTCAAGACACCCCAACAGCCACAGTTGTTATCACCCATGGAGAACAATTAGGAAGTGTTTAGTTTGGAGAGAAAGTATTGGTTAGTTACTTAAAAAAAAAAGTTTATGTTTCATGGGATGTTACAGTAATTGCATGAAAAGAAGGAGGAGGAGGACGAGGAGAAGAAGAGATTGGCCGTGGTGAGAAATGAAAGGAGGAAGAAGAAGAAGGAAAGAGTTGAGTTGAGTGAAGAGAGGAAAGAGAGAGAGAGAGAAGGGAAAGGAGTGTGGGTGTTGTTGCTGTTGGAGATTGAAGGCATCATCATCACCATCAACGCAGTAGTGTGTACAAAAAAAACTTTTTTCCCACCACCTTTTTTGTGGGGATGGCAATTGCCGCCCTCACCCCTTTCTCTCTCTTTTCGTTTTTTTTCCTTTTTTTTTTTTTCTTTTAAGCTTTGCTTGGCATTAAGATTGAAAGAGGAGAGAATATAAAATTTGTTAACCTAAAATTTAAGTTATAAAATAAAAAATATTATAAATTTTAATTATTAAATTAATATTTTTTTATTTTTTTATCCTGTAAAGCTTTAGAATTTCGTTTTAATGTAGCAAAGTTATTAAAATAATAGTAGAAATATATATAAAGTTTATATTTGATATATTATTAGTATATAAATTTTATATATTATTAATAAATTAAATAGTAATATATTATTAATGAATTTTTTTAAATTAAATTTTTTGTATTTATTTTAAAAGCTTATAAAAATTTATATTTATTTATAAATAAAATGTCGTTAATTAATTCACTAATACATCAACTATAAACTCATATACATATAAATATATAAATTTATATATGATATATTATCAATAATTCAATGCACTTATTCAATATAAATGTAATTCATGAAAAAATCACAAACATGTACATAAAAAGAAGTCTAGGAAAATGTGGCTAAAATATTTATTTTTTCCTTCATTGTAGATTATCTGTTGTTGATTTTCTAAACAATTTGACCCTAGTCCATCTCGTACATTTTTTTCATTCTATATATATATATATATATATATATATATATTCTTTTAGAGGATACCTCAATGGTTAATTTGAAATTTCATTTCAAAGTTTCAAGTGGGAAATTTTAAAAGGAAAGAATGGAGTTTTTAATACATTTAATTTTGTTTAAAAATACTTTTTTCATTAGTTTGAGTGTATAAATCTGGAAATGCTAGCTTTTTTTTTTTTTAACAAAATTAGGATATTTATCTATATAAAATTATAAAGAAGATATTTGTTGATTTTTTATTACTAAAAAGAATAATTATAATGCTAAGATAAAAAAAAAAAAAATTTATCTTAAAGTCTTTAGTTTAGTGGTTGAAGGTATTTGAGGAAATATCGAATGGTTGATTACGAACCTCCCTCTCTTTACTTATACTAGAGTTTTGTTTTTGTGATATAACCAAAAAAAAAAAAAAAAGTAAATTTATGATTAATAGAAAGCTATGATAGGACTTGGTTCTTTTTTTTTTTTTTTTGATATTTTGTTGATTAATAGAAAGTTTTTTTTTTTTTGGTTTTTTTGAACCATAGAAAGTTGTTAATCCTTACGAAATTAACAAATTAAGAAATTTAAAGGATCAGGAAAAGGGATGTTTTATATTAATTTGGATGGTTAGTTAGAAACTTATAAACCAAATAAATCTATTTTTTTCTTTTAGTTTTAATATCTTGAAACAAATAGTCATCTACAAAACAGGCAATTTCTCTTTTTGATTAAGATTAAAATTTAATTTTAATATTATTTTAATATCACTACACTAATAATTCATAGATAAACAAACAAAATTGTCCAAACACTTGACATAGACCAGTAGGCCAGCAACTATTTTTTTTTTCTTTTCTTAGGATAGTAAAAGAAATATCTCTCTTTTCACTTATGGACTAAGACTTACCACTAACATGATCCAATTCCCAAATGCGTAACACCCACACTTTGTAATTATATCTAAAGCTACTATTTACTGATTGTGAAATGGAATGAAAATGATTGTTGAAAAAAAAGAATAATTTTGTTGTAATAAATCCTTTAAACTTAGACATAAAAGAATGGGGAGGCTTTATATCTAAGAAATAAATATATTAATGCATAATTTTTTATCTAAGAAGATAAGTACAAAACTTAGTAAAATCTTTGGTTTTCTCTCGTTAGTTTTATTTATATATATATATATATATTAAAAAAAATCATCATCATATGTTTTAATAGTTCAACTCATTACATCAAACTTAAAATCAATTGATAATATATAAAATAATTATTATTTATCCTCATTTTAATATATATGAGATTTACATTATCCTTGGTTGAATGCTCCCTCTCATGTATAAAGACAATAAACCCATCATGTGTCATAAATTTTACGTGTAAAGATAAATGATGTAAGACGAAGGGATTAACGAATAGAAATAGTGATTGCTCTAATACCATGTGAAATTTTAAAATGACATTAAACCCAAAATTAATTGACACTAGGTAAGGTAAAATAATTTTTGTTATATTTATGTGCTCAAATTAATTTCATGGGATTTATTTTATTTTCACTTCGATATTTAAATTTGCATAAGGTCAAAGTATATTGTTGCTTTTAAATGAAAGTCAAATAGCTTTAATAGGTTTTAATATGTTAAATTAAATAGTGTACCATAACTTGATTTATGTTAAGACAACTTTCATATTATTTAATAAACATTAGATAAATGATAAAAGATAAAACAACAAACATTTGATAAGCAATATGTTTAAATATTGAAAAAGATGTATGCGACATCACGTTGTTTTATTATTAAATTTTTAAAGTTTCATCAGCTATTCAAATAAACTAATAGTCAATGACATTGATCGACCAATGACTTTGAATGCCCAATCTTTTTTTTTTTTTCTAATTTTCTTAAAAGAAATCTAATGTACTTAAATAATTGATCTTACACCTCCCAATATATGAAAAACAAAAATTCAAAAGCCTTCTTTCATCGCAAAATGTCATTACTTGAAGCAAATTCAAATAATTGTGACAAAAAAATGCCATTACTTCCAAAGCAAATATAAATAATTGAAGCATCTTTGTATATTCCTAATTTCTCTAGCTTTTTCTGCAATGACATTTCTCTTGAAAATATAATTTTTTTTTTGTTATATACATTTATTAATTTAAAAAAATGAAATAGTAAAAGCAATTAGCAATGGTTAATAACTTTGTGGAGCTACTAATAAAGTAATGACTTGACCTAAATTTATACATGATAATTTAAAATATAATATGATAACACAAATAAAATATACAAAAATAATACGATTTAAAATTTTTTAAAAATTTATAAATAAGTTTAATAAAATTAAAAAATTAAAATTTATATTTTTGTGTCAATACAAATTAAAATATATAATTTTTATGTAAAATATAATATAAATATAATATTTTATATGACTCGATGATATGAATTATCATATTTATCTAAATTTAACAAAAAAATACAAAAAATAGCAGGAAAGAAGAACCATGGAACCAGGATCTTTGGAACTGATTTTTTCTGATTTGAATTAAAAAAAAGGATACAAATAATAATAGAGAATATAAATGGAGTAGCGTTGGACGCACTCTCTTAAATCTTAAATTCCTCAAATATTTTTAAATATTATACTATCCAATCTATGGAATAAGACTTGTATTTATTTTTCATTTAAAATATATGCATTTGACAGAAGGCTATTTTCATCAACAATTTAATTCATTTAATAATTATCATATCTAACTTGCTTTTAAAAAATTGGAAGTAAGGGTCCGTCGATGAAACAAAAGACAATGCAACTTTGGAGGGAAATGATGTAGATGGAAACAGAAGATAACTAAATATCCATTTCTCAAACTATGTGATTTTTTTACCTAAAATATTAAAATTTTAATTTTAATATAAGAGCTTATTTAATTAAAATTAAAATTTTAATATTTTATAAATAAATCACACCATTATTTACCTAAAATTTAACAGTGTTTTTCACTTTCTTACTCGTCTGTTTCATTCTTACCGACATAAAGTTAATCTAGCACCTTGCCACCTACGCTTTAGTTGCGTTAAAAAAAAAGTTAAAATATTAAAAGAGTTTTTATATTTTTATTGTATTTAAATAAAATTTTATTTTTATTTATATCTAAATAAATTATTATTTTAAATAAAAAATTAATTTATGTTAAAGTTTATTGAGATATAAATTAAAAATTATAGATTTATTTATATATAAATTAAAATTTAAAGGTTTATTTTGATGTAAAAAAATGTTAAAGATGTATTTGAATATAATAAAATTTAAAAATTTATTTAAATAAAATGATAAAATTTAAAATATTTTTTATTATTTTAACAAAAAGAAAATCTTTTGCCTTCAAGAAGTTTGTAACATGTACGATCTTGTGCCCAAAAGGGGTCCCTAATCAAAGGGGTCAAAATAAGTTAATTTTTTTCCACTAATTAAACAATTCTTGGTCTGTATTATTAGTGTCTGGTCAAAACTAAAGGAAAGATATTCAAGAGCATATTTGAGTGCTATCCCATCACCCATATCTCTCTCTCTCTCTCTCTCTCTCTTCCTTTGGGGCAAATGGATATATTCCTTCATATAGAGAGGGAAATGGCATGGGAAGTCTCTTATAGGTGGGTTTCTTCTATTGAAATTTGGGTTTTTTTTTTTTTTTGAGAAAAAAGGGGATTTGATAGGAAGAGTGAGGAGGGAATGAGAGCTTGGTGAGAGGTCATTTCATCAACAACCAATATTTAACAAAATGGTATTCTATGATGCTTTGGGTGAAGAAAAGCAAATTAGAGAGGAGATGATATCACTAGTTCTTTTTTTTTTTGCTTCACTGTGTTTTGCAACTTAACAAGGTCCCTTGTTGGAAAGGAGTGATACCCATTGCCCCCACTACTGCCCATGGTCCACCCTTGTCAATCTTGGACCCCACCACCACATCTAGACTGAGAATAGTTTTGAAAGACTGACCAGTGTAGTAGCCCACTCAAGGTCATCATATGGGGCAAACAAGATATCCTATTCTGGGAGGTATAACTATAAAGTTACTCAGTCATATAATTGGTGTATGCATGGGAAAGCTCCAGATGTGTAAGATAAAGAGAGGTTTTACAATAAGCTCTTTTAACATGAAGTTTTTGTCATAAATGCACTTTTTCTGAAAATGTATATAGCCATTTTGGGCATCATCTTCCATGGCCAAACAAATTGATCAAAGCCTTCTGATTCATGAGCCATATATCTAAAGCTCACAGATAGAAGTTGGAATGCTTGTCATAAAAAAAAAAAATCCCATTTTTTTCTTCCTGTTTTTTGCTGATAAATAGTACCAGAGGTGAACCACTGGTGCAGCATGGTTCCTTGTTAGGTGTCATCATAATGATGGCTGGAACAATTTATCTTTTGAGCTTTTATTGGTATTGGTGGGAAGATTGACAGAAAAAGAGAGAAAAAAATCCCATTGATTGATGTGAAGAATTGCCTCTTGACCAGGTTCACAAATCTTTGAAACTTAATGACTTAGTTTGAACTTTGAAACTTGGAAGCCAACTCAATCAAGTAGATCATGGGAACTATCTATGCTACAGGTTTAGTTTTGTTTAGTTGAGGATGTTAAGATTTGAATATTGATCCGTAAAATTAAAAATTTAACATACGTTGTTGATTACTGATTTAGTTGCTAGCAAACATGCATGTCTTACCTATGTGTATTAAGTTTAATTATTTTCCATAAAATCATTATTTTGAAATTGACTGTAAATGCATAATCATGTTCACAGCATGATATTGCAAAAAGAAAAAAAAAAAAACTGAAAATTAATTATATGATGAATTATTGTGTAGGTTTTCTATGTTATTTTCTTCTCCCTTTTCTCATTTCTGGGTAAGGCCTGCTGTATTCTAAGGCTGGGCCATTAAAGTTCAGATAGAAACGGATTTATGTTTGTTTCTGAGCCTATTCTGAGCCTATAGTACAATTTGGGCCTTCCATTGAGAAGTTGAGACCCATAAATAAAAAATAAAAAATGCAAAAAAAAAAAAAAAAGATGAGGAGGGGTACGATTGTAAATTTATAAATAAAAGGTGATAAAAAGATATTAAGAAAATAAAAGGATAAATTGCAAAAATCTTTACGTTTAGTAGGTTGTTGGACTTGTAAAAGTTTTTTTTTTTTTTATTTTCTTTTATTTATTTCAAAGAAAATAAGTATTACTACATTACACTTTTATTTATCAACTTTTATCAGGTCTTTTACATTTATTAATGACTTATCTTTATCACATTTTTTAATTAAAATATACTTTTTTGTGTTAAAAATTTTAAATAAAAGGAGACTATCTCATTTTATTATCTGAGCATGTCATTGGATTTAATAAAAAATTACAAATAATTTACTAAAAAAATTGATAGTGAGATTTATAGGTGAAATATTCAAATTTTATTTCCTCCACCAAGTGAACTAATTAAAATATACTTTAATTAGAAAAAATAGAAAAGTAATAAGAAATTAGAAAAAAAAAAAATAATCCTGTGGCTCTGAAAAAAAAAAAAAAGAAAAGAAAAAAGCTGATGGCGAATACTGAAGACGGGTCTTCCAGTAAAAACCTGCAGTACTCATGTCAAAATGCAATTGAAATAGACCACGTGTCCCTTCCCAAGATGAAATGCTGACGTGTGTAATTGTAAGTGGTGGGTTCTCGAACCATCGCTGCTATCCTATCATCATCCCCCATCCAATTCGCCCAATTTTTTTTCTCCAAGCGGCTACTGCTTGCCTCCTCTTAAAGCCATGATAGCCAATGACTATAAAAAAAAAACAAACAAATTCTAACAAAAATCAAATTCTTCAATTTCCTCAAATGCTACTACTACTACAACAACAACAACGACACCAACAATTCCTCTCTATCCAATTTCTATCGATAGAGGGAAATCGAATCCTTATTTTCTAAAATTTTTCTTTTTTTTTTTTCGTTGTGAGGAAATCAAGATCGATAGGATCGGAGTTTTTGAGGTTGAATTTCGATATAATTTAGAAAGGGAGAGAGAGGGGGGGATCGGGAAAAAAAAGAAGAAGGCCAAAAGAGCAGGCAATTTGGCTGAAACATGTCTGCCATAGTTTCAGGAAAGAGATCTTTCTTTGAGGAATTGACTGCCACACCTCCCGTTTCCAAGAGAATCCGTTGCTCTTCTCGCTTTGCTTCTTCTTCTTCTTCCTCTTCTTTCTCTCCTTCTTCTTCGCCGCCATCGTCGCCACCCTCATCGTTTTTGATCGATCAATTGATTGCTATTTTCCCTGAAATGGACAAGCAGGTACCAATTTTCTTTGTATATTAAAACATATTATTTTGTTTAATTTTTAATTTCTGGAAGAGGAATTGAAATGGAAAATTGTTGTTATTTATTACAGGAATTATTTATATTTTTTGTTTCTTTTTCTTTTCTTTTTTTTAGTTTCATGTTTTGGTTGCTTTATTTCATAGGAATGTAATTTTCGAAGCAATAAATTGTTTGACTTTTATGGTAAAAGAGTTTGGAGCTGAATTCAAGTAATATTAGAATTGGAATTTGAGTACAAATTTGAGATTTCTTTTCTCTGTGAATTTTGTTAGTTGATTAACCCAATTCCATTTTCTAAGATCAAATTCCATGTTATCAAATGTAACGTGACATTGATGTAAATGAAATTCACTTTAGAATTTCATTTTTTTTTATCTGAGAAAAGATGTATCCACCGTAATAATTTGGTGAAATAATCTGATTTTAGGTTCTTGAGAGAGCACTTGAAGAATGTGGAGATGATTTGAATTCAGCTATTAGAAGTTTGAATGAGCTTCGTTTAGGATCTGCTGATAGAAATGCAGCATCCGCTGCTGATAAAACTGGTGTAGTATTAGAAGGAAATGTTCAACTTCAAGCACAAGGTATGAAAAGAAAATCTTTGTGATTCAATGTTGATCAGTCGAGATTGATGATATTCTGACATTTCATGCATCTTTTGGATTGACCAAGATCTTAACTTTATTGTGAATCTCTATCTGGATTCAAATGTTGAGATTGTTTATTGTAATACTATATCCTCTTCATGGTTTAGCTTTAAGAAGTTTTTAGTGGTTTTTATTGTGACCATGAAGCAATGAGGTTTAGTGTGCTTTTTGTTTTTGGGAATAGTTCAGAAGACGAAATGGAAAATTGGTATTCAAATGATAACCCGAAAGTTTGTTTGTTTGATTTTAATTTAACATCTTTTAAATGACTGGTTTGTTTTTGGTGGTGTACGTGACGATGAGAGTGCTGCTAGGTTGTCTGACCTTAAGAATGTGTAATGTGTAATGTGTGATTCACCTAGAAAGTCCAAGGGTTGGGGTTGGTTATCACTAGATATCCCTCCTGTGCCCCTTTCCCTTGTCTCAAAATCAGCCAAACAAAATGCAGAAACAACAAACTGACCCAAATGTTTCTATGCAATCATAAAGCTTTCCTAGCAATTCGAACTGTTAATATTGCTACTAATGTTACAGTTTATATTCTTGCTTGCAACCTTTGTGTTATTTGGCTAGCCTAACATTTTCCATGGATGGCATGCAATTAAACCTAGAATTATGACTACATATATTTCACTGAATTACCTTTAAGTCATTTGGTATCAATAGTTGCTTCTGAGAAGAACATTTTTCTGTTCAGGTGTAGCAACTGCTAATGGAGATGTTCCAACTAAGGAACAGACAGCCCCAGAAGTCTTCTCAATGGATGGATCAGATTGGGTGGAGCTTTTTGTTAGAGAAATGTTGAATGCTTCTAACATTGACGATGCCAGAGCTCGTGCTTCAAGAGCACTGGAGGTTTTGGAGAAGTCCATTCATGCACGTGCTGGAGCGGAGGTGGCCCAAAATTTTCACCAGGTTGGTTGTTCAGTTGCTAATGGTTATCTCTTCTCCTTTCCCTGCTAAGCCCCACCCACACTTTTTTTTGAGGTTTCAGTGTGGAAAGCAGGGAAAGGTTGTTTTGCAGTTGCTGAAATTGCTACTTGGGTTGTTGTAGGAAAATATGATGCTGAAAGAACAACTAGAAGCACTTATTCAGGAAAATACCATTCTCAAGCGAGCTGTTGCTGTTCAGCATGAGCGTCAGAAAGAGTATGAAGATAAGAGCCAGGAGTTGCAGCATCTAAAGCAACTAGTATCTCAGTATCAGGAGCAGTTGAGAACCCTCGAGGTTGGCCTCAAGAATTCAACTTTTCATGCATACAGGAACACATGCATGGACCACACATATTCATATATAATCTATGTGACTAAGCCCATCTTATTTTTATTGCTACATGATTAAGTGTACTGCTTTTGATTTCCCAGAACCTGATGAAAATTGTTTGATCATCCGCTGCCTTAACAGGTAAACAACTATGCATTGACAATGCACTTGAAGCAAGCACAGCAGAGTAGCTCTATCCCAGGCCGTTTCAACCCTGATGTTTTCTAGTAATTCTTGGATATAGCTTTGCAGATGCCTTGTGTGCAACCCTGTGCTTGAATCTTATCAAAAGTTTTGCCAACAATCTTTAGCCACTTATAATTTGTAATATGCTTCAATTTTTGCGACGCTGTGCGGTGGTGTATTTTTTTTTTCTTTTTACAGAAGGATAGGCTGCAGTCAAAAGATGTGCCTCATTTTTTAAGGAAATACATGCATGGTAATTTGTCTGCCAAACTATTTACTTGAGGTGGATATTTGATAGTTAAAGATGTTGGTAGCTTTATATATCCACTGACATGAACCTTTTATTTGTATCCACATGCATATATATGCTTTAGGAGAATATATAGAACTTAGAAGTCTGGATTTTGTCCTGCTATTAAGCCACAAAAATGGTGCCCTTATGCAATTACTTGGAGTGTAAGTTTTCTTACGATAGCCGGTAGCATGAAGGGAAAAAGAGCAGAAAATTTGCTTCAAGCGTGCCATCAGATGCCTCTATATGTTGTTTTGACTTTCCTTGTGATCGCATAACACTTAGTTGCAATATAATGATGATCGTCATATGTATATAACGATGATTGTCACATGTAGCCAGAGTTCTAATCCAATCAACCTACTTGAATCCAACTCGATACTTGAGTCTAGTTCATTCGAGTTGAATTTGAGTTAGATGTTATTTAAGCAATGAATTTAGTCAAATCTAAATATTTGAATATTAAATTTGAAAGGCTCGTGAGTTTTATTGAATTTTTATTTTTTAAATATATTTAAATATATTTAATATGCTTATATAAGTAAATAAGAAAAATATAATGTTTAATATTTATATAATTTTTTCAAATTTGTCAAGTTAAATTTGAGCAGCTTATTGGTTTATGAGTTTAAATTTGAGTTTAAAAAATAAAATTTGATCGAACTTGAATAAAATTTTAAACCGTAAATTTTTGAATTGAACCAATCTCTAGTCTAATAATTATTCAACTCAATTTGATTACACACATCGAGTGTCCTTGCGATGTTTACTTTAGAAACTAGCGTTTGCTCGGCAATCGCCAGCCTTTAGTTGTCATATCGTGGTAAAACAAACCAATTTTATGCTTCTGTAATCTCACCGTCCAATTCCACGAAACTTAAATGAAGGGAATTAGAAATAAATGCTGAAAAAAATATGCTACTCCATTTTTTTTTTTTTTAAATTTAATTCAGCCGGGAACTTTTTGTTGTTGAGACAATTTAATCAGTAATGACACTTTTAGTTCCAATTTTAAATATATTTTTCGTGAAACCATCCAAAAGAAGAAAAGAAAAGAATTTCTACGACACTTTCCAACCTTTCCCTGCTGGGAAGGATCAGGCAGGCTAGCCAGGATAAATCAGTTATTTTTTTCAACAGCTACCAATCGTTGTTGCAGTTGACATGTGGGGCTGAGACCTGTCTTTCTAGGCACGCGAGATCCATATTCACCCCCACCAAAGCTCATACTGCTTTGCTTTTCATCATGAACAATTCCTTTCTTTCGCCAACCTTTGGCCTGGATATTGTCAATTTTCTAAAGTTTTCTCCTATGCAACAGAACCGAAACATGATTATGTCTAGTCCATTGGTCGAATTTTCCATATTACGGCATTATGAAGATGACAACTCATCTGAAACAAGAAACAAATGGGGGCCTTTACAAACATAAATTTTGCCAGTATATATATAAATACCCCGGGTGCACAAAAAAGTTCAAAAATATGTACGGTACATTAAAATACAGGCAGACCTGAAACCTGAACTAGTACAAAAGTTGTTCAACGCACTTTTACAAATATCAGATAGTAATTTAAGGGTTGTTGGTGAAAGCTTGTAAAGGTTGTAGTAATTATGTGTCAAAAACAGTTCAAAAGGACTAATTGAAAGAAACAAATCCAACATAGACAAAACACCTGCGTAGATAGAGTCGTCCACCAAGTGAGGTTGAAATGGATCGAGAGCAGTGTTTTGGTGATCAGAGCAGGCTTACCAGGTTAAGTAAGCTTAGATTGTGAGTGTGAGCAAGAGAAAGAGAGATCAGAAGCCTTATTAATTCATATATAGAGAAGTTTAGAAGGCTGATATTGAAACTAGTCCTCCTTCACTTTTCATCATCCTCTTGAATTCGTCGAAATTAACCATTCCATCTCCATCCATATCAACTCTCCTGATCATTGCTTTGCAATCCTCCATCTTGTTCCCTTCCTTCAGCCCTAAAGAACACAGCACAGATCCCAATTCCTCTACTGAAATCAACCCATCTTTATCTTTGTCAAACACATCGAAAGCCTCCTTCAATTCCCCTTCTCCATCACCATCCTCAACAACTCCATTCCCATCTTCTCCTTTTCTCACACCTTTCTCATCATGATTATTCATGGCCTGACATAAGGTGCAAAACTCATCGAAATCGATTAGCCCATCTCCATTAGCATCCACTTTCATTACCATTTCTTCGACCTCTTTCTCTGTCATGAACAGCCTGATATTCTTGAATGATTGCCCCAGTTCTTGCTTTGTTATGAACCCATCACCGTTCTTGTCGAAGGTGGCAAAAACGCTTTTCAGCTCTACCTTCTTTGGATCACTTCTTTCCATGACTGAAATAACCTGAGTAGTTTTGGAGGATACAGCTGATGAAGAAGAGCAGCTGTTAGGGAAGAAAGATTGAAGCCATGCATAAAACTTCTTGGAAGGAAAATGATAGTAAATATTAATAAAGCCAGCTATAAAAAGAACTGCTAGTAACAGTAAGGATGTCACCATATCTCTTGTCAATAAAACAGAACCAAGAAGAAGAAGATAAAACAAGCTACAAAGAAGAAAAAAAAGTGTTTGTTTCATTTCATCTGAGGTTTCAATTCAGCTAAAAAAAAGGAAAACGAATTGAGAATACGCGGAGTTTGGTGCACTTTCCGATCCCACAAACCGCGTGAACTGTAATAACTGTAAAAAAAAAAAAAGGATTTGACAAAGTAATTAAAAAAAATCCATGCATTTGGTAATTTATTAGTGAAAGACACTTGTCAAAGTTCCATTTGCACAAACTCAATTTCTTGAGCAATTTTTTTTCCCCTAAAAGTCAGCGATTGTTTGGGGAAGTGGCGTATCCATGATGAACACGACTCAAGCGAATTTGGGTGACAAGAACTCTTATTTTATTGAGTATATCACTTAAAGTTACTCCAATATAATTAATTAATGAAAATTATAATTTAATATTTTGTAAAGTTTATAAAAAAAATTATATAGAACTAACTTTTTTAAATGATGGATTTGTATATAATTATTTATTATAATTAATTAATTATAAAACTATAGGTGAAATAATATTTTATTTTACAAGAAAAAGATACTTGATTATGAGATTTTTAGACTAAAGCATTGCTTTAAATACAACTTAATATATGTTATAATTAAAAGTAATATGTACATTTTTATATGATACAATTTGGGGTACCTCATTTTTTTAATCTAAGACGATCTTAAAAGTGATATTGCTCCGTCCCATAAATATTATTTTGTTTGAATACCTTTAATTTCTTTGTTTTTGTGTATATGTGGACTTTGAAATAAGAAGGAAAAGAGAGAGGCTTTAGGGCCACCAAATTCATATCCAAGAGGAAAGATGTTTTCAATGGAACATAGATGTTTCCTTTGTATTTGTCTTTTTGAAAAGCAAAAACACTCAAAATATATGCTTTCCCTCACAATGTGGAATCTCCAAAGACTTCCACTTCAAGGCTTCAATTACCAATAGTTTGTGGAGATATTAACAACAAAGAAAGTTCATCTCAAAATAAAACAGCAAAGCCGAACATCTCTATAATTTAGGACCACTTTGTTTTGCTTTGCTTCTGTCCTTTATTGTTTAAAGTATGGCTTTGGGAAATGTAGTTAAATGATAATTAAAATAATTTTTATTTTATTTTTTATAAAAGAGGTCGTAATCTAAGTTTTGGATTCATTTTTATTTTATTTATTTATTTATCTTTAATAATGAAACGTTTTCCTATAATACCATCATATTATGTAATACGAAACCAAAAACTGTTGACTTTGGAACATATTCTATGGAGTTATGCTGTGGACTTGGAGGATGCGGCAATTGTCTTTTGCAGCATCCGATGCCTTGCTTTGTTGGGTACGTTAAGTGGCCATTGCTTTAAAATGAATTAGCTTAAGATTTTTTTTGTCTCTCTTGCCTTATCTCTTATTCGAAAATAGTAGTTTTATATACCTTAAGTATATTAGTTTATTAAAAGAGAAAAAACAATTAATATGATAAATTTTACCCGAATGAATAAAATAATCTGATCCAATATATTCTTTTTATTATCAACAATTTTCGTTACATTAATTATAAGCATAATATGCATAATATTCATATCATTAATGTACATTAACTAAGCTCTAAACTTTGGTCTCAATAGCTTTTAAGTGTTTTCTTTATAAAGAATATCATAGTTTGACAATAAAAAAAATTATAAGTACTGAAATTTGAATATTATATCTACTAAATATCATATTTTAAAGATGATTACATTAATTAATTAAGTTATGTTTTGGGTTCTTTTAAGTGTGTTTTAATCACTAGCTAGACGTCTTTTCCATTTTCATTCATAAATATTTAGTGGTTAAGGGTTGGAATAAGTGCAAAATTACAGATGTGAATTTACTTTAAACGTGGAAGAAAGTGATTACTCCCATCTTTTGTTGTTGAAGTATATGGTATAAAACTAATGATTATATAAAGGGTGCCATCGCCAATATCAATGGATAAATAAAACCAAAATTTAATGTGAAATTAAAAGATTGTATTTGTACGGGATTAGAGGTCTAGTTGTCTATGTATCACAATTTGCTGATGTTGGTGTGGTACAACAACTCTTGACTAGTTATGTTTTGTCCCTCATTAAATTTGCCTTGTAATCTAAGGGAAGAAACTTGAGTTACATATGCTTTAAGCTTTAATTTCTAGGTGGCTACAGCACATTGTGGAAACTTATTAAGCCGAAAGCAAAACCGAAAAGCAACTTTTATGAGTCGATATGTTGTGGCTCTCGGTTGATGTAATGATGTTGAGTACTTTGGGCCAAATTTGGGCCTCGACAAAGCTTCCTTCTTCGTAAGCCATAACCCAAGCTTAATCTCTTAATCTATTGATGTGTTGTTTGAAAGGGGCAAGAACAGACATCTTTTTCATTGTTTGGCAGGTTTGGTGGCATATATCATTTCTTTAAATCTCTTTGATTGCCAATTTTTTTTCTTTCAAATTTGTTTCAATGAAAATGGTTCACATTTTGTTTAGCTACAGACATCATTTTGACATATAAGCCTATTGTGTCTTAGCTGGAGGTAGCTGGTAAGAGATTGAAAGTGAGATGGTCCGAAACTATAGCTAGGAAACACAATCAGGGATCACGGGAGTTGGTTCTCCAAAACTCACTCCAACGCTCAAGCCAACGAAGTATTAATGGTGACGTGAAAAAAAAGGTGAGATGCGTATAGAAGCTACAATAGAAAAAAATTGCTTGAGTGTGAAGTGTGGTTTAACAGTGATGACACGTAATAGAAATGTTAGCTCCTTGAGATAAGGTGACAACTGAACGTATACTATCTAGGTACTCTAGGGAGTAAACTATATTGACCAAAAGTGAATCGTGCTGACATGATTAAATGGGTGTATGAAAGCCCAATGTAATACTTTCATATTCCTTTTCCTCTTCTTACGCTGTGGCCCGAAGGGAATAAACATAGTATTGACAAAACCCAATTTCCATTCAAATCAATATAATATTAAAAAATGTGACAATTTTTTTTAGTGGTAATTTATAAATGCTTCGTTTCCATGGACAGTGTGCAGAGGTTTTCATCCCTCAGAAGTAAACAATTATACAGATAAAAGAAAAAAAAAAACTTTACTAAACATGTGAGACATTTCATCCACTGTTAATAGACATGAAGGAAAATGATTAGGGTTGACAATTCAACCTGTAATTTGCGGGTTTCGATTCGACTCGACATTTTAAGATCAATATTTTTTTTTTAAATTGAATTTCGAATCAAGTCGAATATTATTAAAAAAAAATTAGGTTCGAGTCAGGTTCAGATTTTAGACAAATCTGATCCAACTCGATATTATATAAAAAATTATTTTTTAATATATATTTATATTTAAAATATAATATTTTATTAATTTCAGATCGAAATCGATCGGATACCGTTTATATACAATTGAGTCGAGTTAGATTCAAATATAAAAAAAAAAAAAAATTTTGGGTAAAGTTCAAGTTCGGATGAAACAAAAATCCGTTCTGATCTTATCCATTGTCAATTTTAAAAATGATTGAATGTTTTTCATTTTTATGTTTTTTTTTTTATAAACTAACAAAATTGTCAATCATATGCGTCGTGCATTTTTTAATTTTGCATAGGCTTCCAAGTGATAGGACCATCATTGCGATTTGGGAACATTGCTTCTTTGACTTTAAAACCTCGTGGAAAGTTGGTAGGCTTAGCACATGTTTGAAGAGTGAAGAAGGCAGCTGATGCCCAGAGAATGAGATACAACAGGTAAGAAAGAAGCCCCAAAAAGCAGTCAAAGATTTCAGCCCAAGCGCAGTAGGAAAAAAAGCTTTCGGCCCTCAAGTTGGGAACCCTAATGGCCCATCACACTAAAGTTTCAAATTAGAAATTTAGAAAATTGCAAAATATCCAATTTGGACAAAAGTTGGACACTGTCGTACATCTTTGTCCAATTGATAAGTGGGGTATATTTCTTATTTATCAATGTCATTTTTTATTTTTATTTTGTAGTTTGATCTGCTATGTAGGTGATCAAGATTTTCAAGAATAGTTCGAATGCTTGATGTTTAATTCATGCAAATAAAATGTTTTCCTTTCATCTTGTTCGCACAAATCGAAGGATTTTTTTTTTTCAAAATCTAAGTTTGAATCCAATCATGAAAATTTTAAAATTTGACAAAATTGCATGTGGTGATCCATTTGTCTTAAGAGCACCAAAAATAAATCCAAAATTTCTTGCTAGACCCACAATAATATTTTAGAACTTCAACGGCGATACATTCTTTTTAGTATATCAAATTAAAATTCAGAGGGTTGAGTATTAGTGTTAATAATTGAGGATTGGGCCCGTTTTGCAAAAAGAAATGTTGATAAGGGGCCCATTTTATTTTAAATTAATTAATTGATTATTTATTATTATTATTTTTTTGGCATTGAAAAAATCTACGGAAGGATGAGGAAAAGAAATAGAGAAGAGAGTAGAAGCCATCTTTGAAAGAGATGAACAGGCTGTTAAAATGACAGGACAGTGTCCCACAGAACGGATGAAGACATGCTTTGGCCATCTCCATCTTTGTCCACTGTCAAAGCTCCGTGCCGTTTCAACGTACGCCATTATTCCGTCCCTCATGCAGGCCTACTTTCACATGCCCCTCTCCCCTCCATTAACGTTGCATTAGGATGGTCCCATTTGGGCTTTGTCCTTCATCGGTTAAATTAAAAATAATACTCCTCCATCAGAAATTGTTTTAGTGCAATTAATTTTTATAGAATTTAAGAAAATTTTTAATGTTAAAATATTTAATATTAAAATTTAAATTTTTATAGAAAATTAAAGGTTTTATAATTTTTAATATAAAAAAGTAAAAATTTTTAAAATATAAAAAATAAAAATTTTAGATTAAAAAATAATTTTGAGACATCTTAAAAAAGAGAGATGAAAGGAATACAATTACTGATTTTGAATTATTATCATTTATACATGTAAGTGGCCAAAATCAAACCTCTTGGAAGTCGGATATCCTTTAAAATATGCTTTATCAAGTTTCCACAAAGAATCAATGCTCATTTCGATACGGTTTTACTACGAATTTCTTATGCCAAAACAATATTGAAGAGAATGACAAAAACGAATTTCG